AAAAATATTAAAACTAATATCTTTTACTATTTCTTTCTATTCTTTTTCTCTTTTTTTCTTTTTTTCAAAATATATTCTTTTTTCCTCAAAATATTTGTCATATTCTTTTCATATTTTTTCAAATATATTTTCCCTATTTTTCTCCTCCATCTCTTTTTTCAATATCTTTTCCTCCAATATTCTCCTTTTTTTTTTACTATTATTTTTTCAAATATTTCTTTCTCATATTTTCCTTTTTCTTTTTCTTTTAAAATACTTTTCTCTATTTTTTTCAAGTATTTTCTCAAGCTTTTTTTTCTATATACTTTTTCTTTAATACATTTTCTAAAAGAAAAAAAGAAAAAATACAAAGGGGAGGGGGTGTATGTTTACAAGGGGGTGTTACAAACAGAAAAAAAATAAGTGGGACTGGGCCCAGCCCAATAGGGAATTCAGAAAAAAACAATTGGGAGGGGGATACTGTGAGTGAACTGGGGGGTATGCAAGCAGAAACAAACTGCAGGCCCAGCCCATGAACAATTCAAAAAAAAAAGAAACTCAGGGGGGGGGGGGTACACTGCGAAACAGAGGGGGTGTACGACCCAAAATCCGTTGGGCTTGAGGCCCAAACTCTCACGATCCATCTCCCTTCCTTTCTCCATTCACTCTGAAACCCTAATGAATCTTTCTCCTTTCTCCCTCAGCCGCCGTCGTCTACCTCCGAACTCCCCCTTCTCAAACTCTCTCACTCTCAACCTAACCTTCACCATCATCATGTTGCCAATGCCACAAACGAAAGGAAACTACCAACGCCCCAAACTGATACATGCGATGATTATTGGGGATTGGTGATCCATAGATCTGAACGAAGAAGGTGTTATTGCTTGCTGATGGACGTTCGCGGACGGATCTTGAAGTTCTTGGACGGAGGTGAACGGAGACGATGAACGCGATTGAAGGTTGACATGGACGTTCTTGGAGAATCTGGGAACTTGCATGAACTTGAAAGTTCTTGAAGATTATGGTGTTCTTTCTGGAAATCTGATGAAGTTTGAAGAGGATGGATGTGATGATCTTGAAGGATGTTGAAGGAAGATCTTGGATTTGTGAACGTTACTGTGTTCGATAAGTTCCGATCTGGAGATGTGATGATAGTGGAGGATCTTTGAACTCTTACGAAGAACACGAGGCTCTCGAAGGTAATACGGAGGAATCTGGAATGTTCTTGAAGGTGTTCTTGATACATGATGAAGCTTCGAATCTGGAAATTTGGTGATGGCCTTGGATTGGAGGAGATGAAGGTTGATCGGAGTCTGGGGATTTTGACGTTTCCTGCGAGCTGGACGGTGGTCGGAGTTAGTTGGGTGACCGGCGATGTTCTGGTACGGTGGCCGGCGATGGAGGTTGGGGTGGTTGCATGGCCGCCGGCCATACAACCGGTGGATGCTGGGCAGTGGACACGTGGAGAGGTGAGTGGAGGAGATCGCTGCATGGCTTACACGTGGTATGGGCGTGGCGGAGAGAGGGTGAACGGAGGGACGAATTGTGATGCGTGGCAGCGTGTGAGTGTGATATGTGGATTCTCCCTTGGCTTACACGTGGCCCAGACTATTATATAACACAGCTTTTTCTAGACTCTTCTAGACTTTTCTGGAAAATGGACAAAAACTTTGTGGGCCTTGCTGAACGAATTTGGATAATCAGCCCAAACGAAATGCTGATAAAAACAAAAAAAAACTGGATTAACACGGAAAAGATTAGCCCAATTACACTAATTAAACTACCCCTAATTAACTAAACTAAACTCAATTAATTGCTAAACTAATAACACTCTAATAAATCCCCTAATCTAAAAATTATTAAATCTCTATTAAATCTCCTATATTATTTATATCTAAAATATTATCTATTATTAATAAGAGAAAAAAACTATATTCTATTAAAACCTATTAAACTCTATAAAACTTCTATTAAAAAAACAACTATATTATTTCTTTAAAAGAAAATCTATGATTAATAAAAGAAAAAATTACATTATTCTATTATTCTAAAATGATTAAAAATCTACCTAAAAAGAATTAAAACTATTAAAAATATTAAAAAACCTATTAATATTCTATATTATCCTAAAATGATTAAAAAGTTATAAAACCCTAAAAATAGCTAATAAAATCCAGAGAAATCACAATAATTCCCGAGGGAACAAAAATAGCACCGAACGGCAAATAACACTGCGAGAGCGCACCAAAATAGCCGGTAAAAATAAACGGGCACCGAAACATCCCTAAAAACAACAGCGCAAGCTGCAAACACCAGGAAGAGCACGGCTTCCCAAAAAATACGATTCTACTTATCTGAACTGATTAAAAACACCTGAGACGCGAGACGAGGGCTGTGATCCCGATAAAATCAAAACAAATGAAAATATGCACTGTATGCGATATGCAGATGCGAATGCGGTCATGCGTCGAAACATCGAGCCAGATACGGGACCCGGTTGGTCAAATTTTGGGTGCAACATCACAAATTTAAAATTGACATTTATTAGAATAGAAATTACACTTATGTGCACCACAATTGCAGTATCGTTATGTTCAGCCACCCATTTCCAAACAAAAGTTCTTTATATCTTTAGAATGTACATAGAAAATATTTAAATGTCGATCATGCTCTAATTGAAGAAGAATAAATTATTTAACAACCATAATGAAACATATCAATTTTTTTTAAAGAATCGCCAGAAGAAACTGTCATCTTATTTTGGGTTTAGGTATGGACAGCTGAATAACTTACTTTCATTCTCGCACCGTCTAAAACAACTCTTTCAGGAATTTCATCATCTTCATTTATACTCGGTTGAACGGTTACACTCATCGGTGTCAATTTTTGCATCATAAAAAGAACAACAACACTAAATGCATAACCATTATTTAGCATACAACAACACACAAAACACTCTTTTCACATACCGCATAAAGCTCATCCAACTCTTTCTTGCGCATTTCCCGATTCTGTGTTAATGCATCTTCCAACTTAATATCGTACATCTCCTCCAATTCTGGTTTTTAGAGAAGATGTATAGTCCATCTATGTTCAAAACAAAAACAACTAGAAAATAATACCATAACATTAAACCCATCTTAACAACAACAACAAAAACAACGACGGCAACGACATTATCATCAATTGTTTATGCAACAACATAACTAAGAAATCTTCACATCTCAAGAACGCAAAACCATCAATAACTCAATAACAACAACACTAAATTTAATCTTCATTTTACTCAATAATAACAACAAAACAATAAACAAATCATCAAACATCAACAACAACAATAACAACATGATTACAGCATAATATCTCAACAAATAAACCTGTAGGATCTAGACACTAAACATCATCAACATCATAATCATAATATATTTGAAAAAAAGCAAATAAAGTAACTTCATTAATATTCTTACCAACAATAATAAGCAAATCTTTAGGGTTTAGGCACTAAATATCAACAACAACTACAACAACAACATAAATATTACTATTACATATCTCAATAACAACAATAATATCTCAATACCAAAACTTACAATATCTCAATAACATAATAATATAAACAAACATATCTCAACAATATTACTATTACGTGCATGGTAGAGATATTTTACGTACAAGAAACATGATGAAGAAGTTAAAGAGATAAATCTTGTGAGTTTCGTTCTTTCTTCTTGCAAGTATCTTTGTGTTCCTCCTTCGTTTTTCTTTCATTTTTCGTTGCTTTATTCATTTACTAAAGCGATATTGATAAATTTTTTCCACATTTACTGAAGAACTGGGTTGAAGAGATATTGATAGCAAAGAAATGATGTTGAACGAGTTAGAAATGAAACTATATGATGGTTCTCTTCGTTAATAAAAATGAAAAACTTGTTAGAATTCAAATAGGTTCCTAAATGCTGAATGTGTGTTTGCAATGAAATCTCAATATACATCAAATACTAAGTTGTATTTCTTGAATAAGAATATAACATTTCACCATACTTGGATAAAACAACCATGTTAATCTCTAATATATTTAATTTTATTTTATCAAAGTGTTAGTTTTTAATCATTTAAAAAACACATATCACCATGATTAAAATATTCAACTATAGTAAAATCTGACTTATATTTAATTTTAAAATAAATAAAAAAGAAAAGTGTCACTATAATATTAAAGAAATCACAAATTTGCTTTAGTTGAGATTCGAATTTATGAATTTTACGATTGTTATTTTATCCAACCGTAATAAATATATAAATTATTTTTAATTAAACAATAAATAAAATAATGACGTCGGATAGGGAAGATGTTACCCCATTATGTGCATGGTAGCATGTATCCAAATTGAATTTGATTACTAATATTTATTAAAGTCCATGTTATTGACCAATATAAAAGTTAGTTAAACTGTTATAATTGTTAGTTAGGCAGTTAGATTGTAATGAAATATGATAGCAGGTTAAATAAGTTAGTTACTGCCTAAATAGTTGTTTGATTTAAGTAACCTCTGTTAGTGAAGCAATAAGTTAGCTTTGTTCAGTAATTCATTTGCATAAAAAGGCAACTTTATGCTACTTATCTATCTAAGAGAAATTCAATCTTGGAATGCTATCATTCTATTAACTTCTAACAGTATAAATTATTTATTTCAGCCGTATAAATTATTTTTTCAGCCGTAGAAGCAAGCACAAACAGTAGACACACTCCTTGCATCACACGTAAAAGAGCACTACATTAAACTAATGTCAAAGCAAAGAAAATACAAATAAAACTACTCAAAAATCAACTTACCATTATTGCACAAGGGAAAACACACTTTAGTGCGTTCAATTTTAATGTATTTGTAGCAACACGTCTAAGGAAAATTCAAATTCATCCCCTAATGCGACAATCTACCTATTGATCTACTCAGTGCCGTATACCAATTCCTTCAACGTTTTCACACTACTATTATTACACAAACTAATTCTACAAAGCGTCACGCAAGTAAATTGTATTTTATTTCTAAATCATCAGAAAGTTGTTGCAAAAACCACATGCTTTCATCGTTCAAAAAAGTCTCCAACAAGTCATCACCGTCACCATCACCACCACCACCACTACTATTCCCTTGTTCTGGAATCTGTTTATTAAAACTTGGCAACACTTCTTGGTCTGAAATCGAAGGAGCTTGGAATTCCAGTGATGAAGATTCCGAGGAAATACCACTACCACTGACACTTGAGGAGTTTGTTTTTGGCCCTGAAACTGAACTGTGCGATGTGTTGTGATGAAGAATGAAATCGGGTTTATTCGGGTCGTGAAATCCAGATGCGGGTGCTGTTTGAACCTGTTCAAGCAAACGGGGCATCCACACGTAACGCAAGACATCTCTGAACTGTTTACTATTGACATCGCACTTGAGCTGCTTCGCTTGCTTTATCACTCTCGTTCTCCAATAGTTTTTTATTTCATTGTCGGTTCTTCCTGGAAGATGCTGCGCAATTTTCGACCACCTTTGATAATAATAACAAACATAAATATCCATTTTAAAAACAAAGACATCGAATCGAACACGACACGGATACATAGACTCTGATAATAATTTAAATTTTACCTATTCCCCCATCGAGAGTGGAGTTCAAGAATAAGAATCTGTTCTTGGAGTGTGATATTTCCACGTCGCACATCAGGACGCAAGTAATTTAGCCACCTTAATCTGCAACTTTTCCCACTTCTCTTCAGACCTGAATATTTATTTAGATTATTATCTAACAATAGAGTTACTAAGAAAATATAAGATATATTACATATATTATATGTGCATGCCTGCAGAAGATGCAACAGTGTTCCAGTGACCTTCACCATGGGTTGTAATGTAAGTAACCAGAACGGTGTCCTCTTCTAACGTCCATGGACCCTTTCTTAATTCACTGAGGTTTGTAGGCTCAGTTTTTTTAACCTTAATATCCATATGTGGAGTTAAAATTTAAAAGTGGTTTAGTTTTATGAAAGGAAGAAGCAACAGTAGTATGATATATAGGGGAAATATGAAGGAAGGAGATGAAGAAACGTGTTGGATTTGGGTTTGTAAATGGGTGGTTTCACTTATTGGAGGCATGTGGAAGAGTTATATAGTAATAGAGTCGGATAAGAATAAGTATAGTCCACAAAATAAATAAAAATAAAAGGGTACGGAAAAGTGACGACTTGGTACACACATAATGCACCAGTTTGATTCTAGTAAATTTATTACTAGTAGGTAGCTACTTTTAGGATTAAGATGGAACTAAGCTTGCAGTTTGGGGTTTGACTGGTTGACTCATTATGAGTCGTGCGCTTGGAGTTGGAAAGATTAGTGCAGCATGTGGAACATCTAGAATCGGATACTCTTTTCACATCTACACGGATTTGCCGTTAGCTATATTATAGTACAACTCAAAGTAAAAATGAAAAATTAAAACAAATTTGTATTGATAATTAATAGAAGTGGAAATCACTTAATCCACAATTTAATTGTGAAAGAATCTTCTCCCCCAGTCTTCTTTTTATATAATGGTTCTGATCCTCAAACATGAATTAAAGTTTGTTAGAAATAATTTAATGTTATTCATCCGGATTGGTATGATACCTTAGTATTTATTAAAAATCATACTTGATTGTTTGAAATCTCTGATATCATTTCATTATCCATAAATGCATCCTCAATCATATTTTAATTAGACAATATTTTGTACTAAACTTTGAGCAGCATAGTCAATATAGCATATTAACTATTTTAGTCTAACCACACTCGTTTGAGTGGTTCCTTTAATTAGCGTGGGTTACATTGGACTCGTGTTAACACATGTCTGCTTTGGGATCCGATCCAAAAAATCTAATAAGTACACAACTCTTTAAGTATGAGTCTTGTAAGAGTGACATGCATTCCTAAGTGCCAATGGACATTACATATACATAACCCTCTAGCATTAGTTGTGTGAGGCTAAAAGGATTTCATGAGTCCTACCAAAAAAGTGAACTTGTACACAATCCCTCAGACATGAATTGTGTAAGGGTGAAATATTTTCATGGGTCTTACCAAAAAATAAGACATCTATACAATTCCTTAAGCATGAGTTGTGTATAGGTGAAATGCTTCTCAATGGTTGGTCAACCATTAATCAATATGTTTTGATAGAATCCATTTCTCGGGCGAGTTTGCTATTATTTCTCAATGTGTGGTGGTTTTGGAGTGTGGTCGGCCAATGTCTAATGTTCATTTAAGTGGTTCATTTCCCTTAGTGTGATGATGACTATACATCTGGAAAATTAGAGTCATTCATGTCATATCCCTATTTTCCCTATTTTCTGAAGCCCTAATTAGATAGGCTTAAATGTAGTCATCAACTTATCTGCCACTCAAATCTTATAAATAGGTTCCAACGCCTCTCATTTCTCTTATATTTTCTCTTCATCTCATAGACTATCAACAAGCCGTCCTATGCCATTCTCTTCTACAAATTTTCAAATATTCAACAAAAGTTCACAAAGTCAAGTAATATCCCATTTTCCATGTGTCTTTCTTTTCTTCTTTTATGGTGTTTATTCAATAGTGTGACTCATCTGGGGGGTCATAAGGCCTCGGGATGATGTCGAGTTATGGAATAAATGTTTGCGAAACAGGAGGAAAGAAAATTAATGGTTCGTTGAGATAGAGCTTTCTAGTAGTTATGAGAGTTCATCCAGTGATAGTTCAGGGGAGTGAATCGCCTAATGATAGTGAGAATGACTTAATGTCTTCTTACTAAGGTTTGACTAAATCTCTCATGGCGCTTTCAATTTCAAATCAAGACTTCTTTTATGAAAAGGCCATAAACATGAACTCGATAAGAAAATTGGATCCAACATTTTTGGCTAGACTTGGATATATTCAACACTCGGAACGAGTATGACATGATTATGGAACCTTGTTTGCCATGTGAAAAGATTTGCATGTGGCAACCTCGAGGGGTGGAGGGCAAGTGCTTGTATTATTACACTAGGGTGGTTAAGGACTTTGGGGTTAGTATCCCTTTCACCACCTTGCAGTCTAAGATCTTGAAGATCATTAATGTCGGCCTTACCCACTTTGGAGAATATATCAATTAATTTGAGTGTTAAAACTAATCATTACAACTTGTAGCTAATATCTTACTTGCTAATTCAACATATGATTCAACTCTTGTTACATATTAGTTTGATAGTCTTTTATTGTCATAATCACTAAGCTTGGTGATCGCGACTTTCTATGTCTAATACAAATAACTGCAAGTGCACAGTCTATCGCGTAGTAATAAAAGATATCGATCCCACTGGGACTCGTAATCAAACTAGTGTTCTCGGGAGTTACTATGTTTAGCTAGGTAGAATATGTTTTAAGGGAATAAGATTGTCACTAAAAGAGGGAAACTAAGATTACTGTTTAGATTTTAATTAATTGAATCGATACGTAGTAATTGTGTTCTTCAGGGATTTGATAAGTTACTGGTATATGAAATAGTTTTCACAGTTTATTTAAGCAGAAAATGGAGATTTGAAGACTCTCGTCTCACGATGGTTATTGACGCTAATCATAATCCTAAGGGCCAAACGTACACTTTCGTATTCCGTTCGGGGTTAAAATTACTTTTTGGAAATCTCTAAGTTCTAATTCGTTTTAAAGTGCTTTCGCTGTTATTAAAACAAATGCCTAGTGTTTACTATTGGACCTTACCGCAGCTTTCGCTTGTTGGTTCGTATCTTAATTAATTTCCCACTTTCGTGGCAAAACTACTTTAAAATAAGTTCTCGCTTTCGCGACGAAGTTTATTTCGTAAATCAATTTTAAACACTTAGACCATAAATTACTTTTGTGAAAAGAAAGTTTTCAAACAAGAGTTATCAAATCCCATTCGAATTATTACTACATATCGATTGCCTAAGTTTAGCTAGACATGGAATTGGGAAAAGCAAAACATAAATAATAATAATAAATAATAAATTGCATTATGATAAAACAGAAGTCGATCAAAATGAAAACCTGTAAATAATGCCAATTGGCCTTTGGGCAGACCCTCCACAGATGTTGGCAGGATTCTGTCTTTAGTTCCAATTTGATCGTACAGTGCAGTAAGTATTACAGAAGAGCGGAAATGGAAATGAGGAAATGGAAAGGGAAATAAAGGAAAGGAATACAAATAAAAACTGGAGAAATGGATACAAATAAAAACTGGAAAGTAAATTTTGCTCTGAAAATTAAATTTGGCAGCACTTCATGGTATGAATGCAGCTCCCTTTTTGAAGTCCCCTGCTTCCCTTTTTATAGAAGTGGAGTTCCAACGGTTACCTCTGAGGATGATGGACCTTGAGGCAGATAATTTAGGGAGTAGTGGACCATTTAATGGGAATTGAAACTGCTCTTTTGACGTGTAATCTGAGTGGGGCGTTTTTGCCTGCATGACGGTCGTCACAAGGTGTGACGGTCGTCACATCAGCAAAAACTGATTGCTGCGCTTTTCACTGTGTTTTCACTCCTTTTTCATCCATATTTCATCTGGGATTGCTTCTTTTCTTCATGTTGCCTTGTTTAGACGTGATCGTTGAATACCTGCAAAAACATCAGACAAATACACGGAAATAACCCGAAATCGGATCGAAAACGGTTAGCTTTTAGTCGAATTATGCATGAAAATATCTATATGATTTCGTGTTATCAAACTCCCCTAAGCTTGAATCTTTGCTTGTCCTCAAGTAAAACGTGGAAAAGTCGGCAAGCACGAGGCTGCTTCTTCGTTCGCAGAGTTTGGAAAAACCGGGATTCTTGGTAGGAACAAGACGAGTATCATGACGACACTGGACTACGAGTCTCCGGAGGTCTCCTTTTTATGCAAATCGGTCTCAGTCACGCTACCGTATTTTGGTGTCAAGGTTCTCGTGGCAAGTTCATCCTGTTTGTTCTAGCGCAATCACATTAAGCCCGTTGTCCGCACACTTTCATGGCAAGTCGACCTGTTAGTGAATATGATCTCGTTTTTGTTTTTGATCTTCTTCATTGATCATAATTTGGTGTCATTGATTTTTCAATGAGTTTTTCGTGTCGTTGGGCTAAATGCTCGGGTGAGGAGCACCTAACTTAGAAGAAAACATATCTTATATTCTTGGGCTTTTTAGCTCTCTTTTCATGATTTTTCATCTTTTTGGAGATCATACACTTATTTGCATCGGTCGCTCGCTTAGAAGTGTTTTTAGGATGGTGCTGACTGCTAGTATAAACTACTTTGGGTTGAGTTTGCGTAGACACTTGAGACTTTGGTACACGTAGGTGGTGAAACCGACTCGTATAAACTAGAGATCTAAGGTGTCTGGACGATACTGGTTTTGTTAGAACTGTCGTTTCCTCGGAGTTTCAAAACTCGATTTGAACTCAGGTGCATTCTCGTGATGCTTTTGCTTTTGAGGAACAAATGAAAGTTTTTGTTTACGTTGAATAATGTGGGGATTGTTTGTGTAACGTGAAAATTATATAGACGAGCTTTATTTGCTAGAAATAGAAAGTGTAAAAATAGAACTTACTAAAATTTAAAGTGCAATGAAATGGAAATACAGGAAATAAGGGAAGTTCAGAATACAGTGGAAATAAGGCTCCGCTCCCACACTATCTCGATCAGTGTCCTCACTGATTCTTGAAGCATGCGAGAGGGAGATACAACTGAAAATGAAAATACAAAATACTGAAATATAGTAAACAATGAAGGAAAAAAAAATGAAAATCTAGTCCCGGCCTCTGTCACGTCCATGCTGGCGTCCTCTGGCTCTAGCAAGGGCTACTCTATCCTCATAGCTCATGGCTCCGGTGTGGTAGACCGTGTCTCGGAGTCCTTCGACCTGCAGGGTCAGATTCGCTAGACTCTCAGTGATCGTAGCTTGGCCGGTATGAAGTTGTTGCATTTGAGTCCAGTGCCAAGCTTCGAACTG